CTGGAGGTCGATTTCTGTTGACTTCCCCCCGATCTGGTCATCCATTTCCATCGACATGAAACCCATGTACGACTCGCCCGGGTGCCAGGTTTGGCCCCCCATCCAAGTGGAAACCCATCTCGATCGCTCCGCCCAATGCCCGTTGAAGGTTGCATTCCGAGATGTACGAACTCTCGACCGCGGCGGCCAATTCGAGCGTCTTCGCAATATCGTTAATTCGTTGATAGTGGGTGGCTCAGAAAGGTGGGAGACGGCAGACTGGCACCTTTTCCCCGAGCACCACCAATTCCTCAATGCCGCCCGTGGCCGAGTTTCGGCTCTGACAACGCTGACTCTGCATGGCTTTTTTCAGAACTCTAACGTGGTCCCGCATGCGCTCAATGCATTCATTATCGCCCCCTCCTTGCGCAGGTTGACCCTCAACGGTAATCTGGCGGCCATAGTGACCCATGCCTTCCTCCCGTGGTCTCAAATCACAGACTACGCTGCGGATTCGGACTACAACCGCGACCACTTCCCACTGCTCGCGTTGCTGACGAACGTCACCGAAGCTCGATTAACGTTAGAAAACACAGTGCCTACCACTCATGTCGCCCCGCAACGAAACAATTCGTTGCGAAAACTATACGTCAACCGGGGGTGTATCCTGGATCTAGATCTCCCCTGGCTGGCAGAGCTCACGTTCGAGCCACTCGATGCAGAACCCCACGAAGAGGATCCGCTCTGGAACCTCGTCACATTCCTCACCACGGCCCCTGCGCTTACCAAACTCTGTCTCATCGGGGTCGGTTTCTCCGCGCGTCTGCTGATAGAGGTACTACAGCAGACCTCCGACCTAGTCGACCTGTGCATACAATGCCGCCACGTCAGCAGTGGCATCGAACTCGAGGATCTCGACCCGGTTGTGGAATTTCTTCATGTCGGAGCCGGCGCACTGCAGCTTCCCGCGCTGCGGACGCTGACTTTCGGTGGGTACGGATTCGCTGCCCCGGACAAGCTTGTAGACATGGTTGAAGCACGATGGCGCGCTGCGTCCCCACTCACCTCGTTCGGCATGATCACACGCCATTCCCTGGGCATGCGCGAGCAACTCGCGAGATTGGAGATCCTGCGCAAAGAAGGGCTCCACGTGCTGCTGGTCGAGGGCGAGGATGCGGCGGACGCGTTGTTCTCGCTGCCTTTCTTCGAGATCGCATACTCGCTGGCAAACAAGGACTATGCCCAATGGCACTGGGAGTACGCAGTGGGAATTTAACTCAGGTATACAGTCTCTGTACGAATGTGCGGTTGCTGATAGTTCTTCCACCTAGTACGATTTTTTAAATAAACCTCTAGTCGCGCCTTCCAAAAGGGACTTCAGAAGCTACTGGAATGGTTAGACATTTTCACTACGAATTGTCGGATGCCATATCTGTTTCATTGATACAGCAAGAACATCATGCGCGTTATCCTTCCTCCACCACAAGGCTCTGTAGTTCAGCTGAGCGTTAAAAAATATTCTATCCTCAGCTACGAACTCTGGAGTCTGACGGCCCCCCGCTGGCTTCCTCCGATGAGTGCTGGAAACCTCGTACAATTGCACAAATGCGGACAGTGTGCAACTAGCTAAATTTACAAACTTCTACCACCCGTTCGCCCTGCCCACCATGCAATAAAATAACAAAAGCCTCCGCACTTATGCAGCAGCGCACAGTTTTGCGATGCTGGCGGTATCATCTGCCACCTGGTTCAACTGCAGGTCGGCGCCCGACTCCAGTCCATCCGCCAACAGCGGTCCAAGGAAATCATCCGTCACATCGACGAGCGTCTGCAGACTGCTCGCGACGGTAGCAAAGTCGCCCGCGGCGTTGGCCGCGTTCGCTGCGTCGAGCTGCGTAAACACCGTCGTGAGTGTTGCACCGTTCTTGTCAGCAGCGAGGCTACAAAAAAAAGGCATGTCAGTTTGGGGAAGGGAAGAACAGAGCAAATTGCGCACGGATCAGGGAGAACAAGGCCGACGTTCTTGATCTCATTGGCGTTCTTGGTCAGATCTGCGAGTTGGCTAGTGATGAGCTCTTTGTTGCAGCTCGGCGGTGCTGCGGCTTCCTGGGAACAGTCGAAAACGCTGAGCTTGCCCGCCTCAAGACATTGCTGGAAAACGGCGTTGTTGGGAACCGGAGCTGTGAACCAATTGAGGGGAAACAGATACAAATGAAGAATGGGCACTGACCCGCGAGGACGCTGGACGCGACAAAGGTGAGGAACAGGAGGGTGACTTTGTTGAACATGGTGCCAAAAAGATTGTTGTTTGGAAAAATAAAGAAGGGCAGTTGGGCGAAGAAAAATGAAGGTCGCTAGCGAGGAACTGAGAAGACACCAGGTGAAGAAACACCGTCTCTCGAGGCGCCCTTATATATATATCTCGGGCCAGAATCTCGTAACCGCGGGCCATACCGCATTCCAGCAACCAATGCAGATGTCAGCCGAAAGTGGTCTGCTACCATCTATCGCGAAGCACTTGTCGGAAACTGTCGGCCGTGGTGGCCCGTTGGCAAGGAGGTAATGTCAAGTACCACAAAGGCGGAGACGGAACGGTGAGAAAAATCAGCAATAGTAGGCAATACTAGGAATCTGGAGAGCCAAGCGAACTTTAATGATGAGAAGGCGGTGAAAGATCTGCGATGCGGCGATGGTTGGCTTTTTTCGTTGCTGATCTCTGCTGATCTGATGAGAGGGTGGGTTGAATGTTTCATCTTGGACAGTTGAATACACTCCTCACCATGATCTTGTTTTCATGGAAGGGTGTGGGGCATGCATGGATTTGACTAATCAATGGTCGTATCCGGTCCACTGATTTGGCAGTCATCATCGAAAACCGGTTTCCAACTTGTTTCCGACTCAAATCCAACTTGAAGATCTGGCAAGGACGGAAATCCAACTATCATTCATGCAACCGGTTCCTCCACAAAGGAATTTTGCCATTCTGGTCCAATTTTTGTGAGCGAATTTTTGGGATTTTGGCAATCTAGTTCAACTCACGATGTTCGACTTATGTAGGCAAAAAATTACACACGGACTATTCGCATTGATCCTCGATGTTCCGCAACCTTCTAGACGTTCCGTTTGTTATCCTAAATCCGTTGAAGGCCAAAGCGGATCTACGGGAAGGCCAAAGCGGGTCGCGTCACGGGATGTCATTGTGCCACTATAAAAATGTCTCACTTTGGCTGACATCAGCACAACTCATTCTTCCGACTACCGCCCACCTGAGCCACTCACCCACCAGCCGTATATATCCTCTCCTAAACTACTCATGCCTCCTCGTCGCGGCAAAGGCAAGGCCACCCCTGCCGCACCTGCAGTGCCCGTCACGCGGAAACGTCCTGCGGAGAGCACCTCTAAGAGCGCGCCCGCAGCTAAGAAAGCGCGTCAGCAAACGGCGCCCGCTGCGGAGGTGATCGAGCTATCCAGCGATGAAGGGAGCTCCGACGGGGCGGTTGTCGAGGATTTCTCCGATGATTCTAACGACGGGGATGGTTCCAGCGAGGAAGAGGACGTGTACAGCGACCAGGACGACGTGGAATACGCGGAGCCGGATCTCCCTCAGGAAGTTCGTGTAAGTCTATCCTGCACCCACGTTTATAATACCCTCGTTGCTAATTGCCACCCATCTTGCCACACAGAATACATTCACCACCGCTAAGCCCGCTAAAACCGCGTCCAAATCATCGTCATCCCTGGCGGGGAAGTTCGATCTCTACGCCATGGAGCTCCCCTTCCTGTCGTCCGTTTACCTGCCCGCTGGCGCGTCGCAGCACAACTTCGCCGCACTGTACAAGACCATCCTCACGTACCAGGCGAAGCCGGACTCCACGGCGCAGTGCGTCCTTCCTGCTGGCGACACTGCAGGCCGGCTCTCGAGCGCCGCGCTCGAGGACCCGATGGAGGGACTTCCATGGGACATCGCGCTCACTGACCTCACGCACGTCGACGCGCTCAAGTTCTCGGCCAAGGAGCGCAAGCCGTTCGTTACGCCCCCGCGCGAGGGTATTCCCGGCGTCAAAGCACAGACGGGCCTCGCGCACGATCACTGCGGGGTGCAGTCTGCGAGCGGCGTGTTCCGCATGCAGCACGCGTGGACGGGGAGTGCGGGAGAGGAGGTTTTCGAGGGATATATGTCTTTCAACGTCGTGCACAGCGCGATGTATAAGCGCAAGAGGCATGGGAGTGGGCTTAAGGTCGATTTTGCGTTTTGGGCTGTACGTGCGAGACGGGATGCACATGGCAAGGAGATTGGGTTGGAGGGGAATTGATATGGCAAGAGTTGCTCATGCTCACTGAAGTCTTACTGTAACTGTCAACGACAATTTCAATAGAGAATCACAATATGACCTTACGATCACTATCCGGATAAATACCTTGCTCCTCTGAAGATCTCGCAGCATCGGATAAGCGGCAAGGTTGGACCAGAAGGGAGTCCATACACCTAGGTAGAACCTGAGGAGATGCAGATGGGCGACTCGCGTAAAGCCTGGGTGTGTAAAATTCAGCGTGAAAACAGACAGCCAGCCGCCACAGAGACATTCTTTCGAGTGTCAACAGAATAGGCCCCCGAATATTTGGCCGTTGAGATTTTGAATAAGTATGGCCGGCTTTTTTGAGGTGGCAATTTTCAATTATTTAAATCGCTGCAAGACAGCTCCAAGCAACAAGTGGCGAATGTGGTCGTGGAAGAACCGTTGAGTTGATCACTTTGAAGAGAAATTGATTATAGGAGATTCTGGGACCAGCTCGGGTTGGAAAGGTTATTTCGTCGAAGTGGGTGATTGAAAAAGCTCTGTATAGCATGGCATTGCCGTTTGACCCTAGAGCATCGGCCTAGATCGGCCTGCCTCGAAATCGGAGGGTGCTGGAAATTTCAACCCGCCGAGCAACCACATAAGACGATCGCGATGCATGTCTTTTCAAAATCCCGCCTCTCTCCACTCGCACTCCTGCCTTCCAGAAGACCACTTACCATCTCCGAAATGGTGTAACGGTAACATTGCCGCCTCTCAATTATACCCAATTTCCCCTGAGTGTGCGGTAGCCCGGGGTTCGATTCCCTGTAACTGTAACATTGCCGCCTCTCAATTATACCCAGCTTCCCCTGAGTGCGCGGTAACCCGGGGTTCGATTCCCCCTTTCGGATTTTTTTCTTTTGTTGATGATGTACATATGTTTCTGTTCCTCTTTATACTACATATCCCACATATCATCCCGCTCTCGCCCTCCGTAAGGCGTTCGAAAAACAAAGCTGACTGTTAGCGGGTTTACGCGTTCGTATGAATGTACATTGCAACGCAGCCTGAGTAGACGATACTGAAACGTAGTCGTATTGAAGAAACTTGGCATCTCCATATAAGACCCTTCTGTGGCGAAATCAACGCACAGGGTCTTCACTAGAGTCTGTCTTTACTGACGCGAGGTAGCACCAGATACGGACAAAATTAGCTGAGTCTCAGACTTTCCACATTCCCAACGCGATATCAAGTTCACATCTTTGAGATCTCAACCAACGAGTCCCTTTTATTTCTTTTTAACAAAGCCGAAAGTCCAACCACTGCCATCGTTGAAACCCGAGAACAGGTCGCGTTCTCTGTTTGTCGTTGTATTGCTTATTCATGACTCGCGCCTGACACGTGCCCGTTTTCTTTCAAGCCCTTACTACCATGTCGACCAAACCCGACAAGCTCGTTCCCCGCCTCTCAGTGGATCTTGAAAGAGAAATATTCGAGCTTACTGCTCGCGAGTGTACACCAGCTATCCCTCGTCTCATGTTGGTTGCTCGACGCGTCGAAGTTTGGTAAACAGAGTCGCTATCTTCCGGTTTCGCAGGTGCTCACTCTGGCGCCAGGGTCAAGCCCTTCTTATATAGAGCCTTCTCTGTCACCGGATCCACCCGGACAAAATTCACCTCACACGGTCCCGCCAGAATACCTTGGGGTGTGCTTGGCCAGCTCATCTTGTCAGGACGCGCGGATTCATTTCATGGTGATGTCCGCCACCTACACGTTGTCCCTGGCATGCCAGAGGAATACATGCATTTGATCCTCGACACATTCAGCGGTAGGCAGAACTTCTGCTGTTTTGGGGGCATAGATATGGGCCCTGTGCTGCTCCCGACGCTAACGACAATGGCTCCGCAGCGTCTCGCTGTCAACCCAGAGAGCCTCTTCGGTTTCAATCCAGTGGACTTTTTGCATCCTGTCTTTGCCCGAGTCACCCATCTACACTTGCGCGGACCCCTTATGAAGGCATGGACCCCCTCCGCGAGCCTCTCGGCGCTCCCGTACCTCACGCACTTGGCCTTCCAAGAATTTCATACCATGACGCCATGGGCGACAGAGACAGACGCGAATGCGCTATTCGCTCATTCACTGGCGCAGTGCGCACACCTCAAGGTACTCGTGTTTCTATCCGGCGATTGGGACGGGACCGGCCTCGACCCACAGCTTGTGGCGGATTTCGCACATGAGGCACGCTTCGTGCCGATGGTGGTGGATGATTTGTGGCGAGATTGGGAGGCCGGAGCCGTTGGCGGGGAGGATTTTTGGGACCGGGCGGATGCGATTGTGAAGGCACGTCAGTCGGGGAAAGACAGAAGTAGGTTGCATATTTATTTTCCTTTCAACTTTGTTGACCAGCTGTGTTTCATCCCTTTTTTTCCCCAGTTGAACACCAATAGCGATTCTGCCACTTCCAAACCCAGTTTCTTTTATCGTCGCCGTCGTCTGTCTTGCGTATAACGGTCTTACATTCTTTCTTCTCGTAAATCGTGACTCTGTTCTCTCGAACTTGCAATACTTCGATTCGGGGACCCCCCTCCTCAACTTTCTGTGGGCTCAGCGGCCATATGTGCACATATTTCAAAAACATCTGGCTTTCCGTGTCGTCCCTAATCTCACCATGATTCAAAACCATACTATCGCTGGCCTGAGTGAGAGTCACTTGGTCTCATTCCCGGCAATATGTTTGGAGACTCGGCAAAGTCCAGCCAAGGTCAGTTCTTTTCGTTCACCATATGAGAATCGAACTCCAATTGTCGTTGAACATCAATTTACAAGTGCAGAATATAATACCATCTGCGCCGCTGAACACACTCAACTGTGGGAAAAGCGGAACGCCACAGCCATACCCCTAGGCACAGCTCCACCTTGGACCTGAGTCAAATTCTCCTTTGCTGCATCTGAGACCTCTCTCCGCATGCTATATAAATCCTCGCTGGAGCGACTCAGACTCTCATTCTCACATCTGTTCCTTCCCTTCCTTCCTTCCCTTCCTTCCTCCCTTCCGCCATGTTTTTCAGGCTCCTCCCATTCCTTCTCTCCGCCCATTCTCTTACTCTCTCCTCCACCCGTCAAACTCAACGCTCGCCAATAGCCTCGCGGAAGGACGTCGACTGGCGACGATCTGCAAACACCACCGACCCAGCGAACGTCGTATCGGCGGGATGGTTCCCCGGCTGGGGAAGCACACCGCTCGACGACGTGCCGTGGTATCAATACACGCATATGTTTTATGCCTTTGGGTGAGTCAAACTATATCGAAATTGCACGTACTCGGTTTGTTTACGTTGTATGTGCCAGAACAACCACGCCCAATTGCAGCAATATCACAGTCGGCGCGGAGGGCTTGCATGCTTTTGTTAAGGAGGCTAAGAAGAATGTCTGCCATGTTTATTCTGTTATTCATTGAAATCTCATTGACGCTAAACAATAGGACGTCTCTCCATCGCTGTCGATCGGCGGCTGGACCGGCTCGCAATACTTCTCCACTGCTGTCGCCACGAGCGAGAACCGCACGGCCTTCGTCGCCGCCGTCCTCGACCTTATCACCACCTACGCATTAGAAGGCATCGATTTCGAGTACGCACTCTCCCCCTCTCCCTCGCTTGAAATGTACTGAACACACGTCACAGTTGGGAATACCCCGGCCGACAAGGTTTAGAATGCAACATCGTCGACCCTGCGCACGATTCTGCCAACCTCCTCGAGTTCCTCAAGGAGCTGCGTCCCAAGCTGCCGCAGAACGTCAAGCTGACGGCAGCCGCTGCGCCGACGCCGTTCAATGGCATGACCAATGTGTCCGCGTTTGCTGAGGTCTTGGATCACATTGGTGCGTCCCCTCTTCGCCTCGGAGTATAAGCATGGCTGAACGAACCCCCAACAGAGATCATGCTGTACGACACCTGGGATCCTAGCACCGGGCTCACTGGGCCGAACTCCCCGCTGGAGAGCTGCGCTGGGCACACGTTCCCAGCAACTGTCGCAAGCGCGCTCCAGGCGTGGACCAACGCGAGCTTCCCCGTCAACAAGGTGCGCACCTCAGTCCTCTTTCCTTCAATGCAGCAGACTTACTAATCCCCGCTCAGATCCTCCTCTGCCTGGCCACCTACGGCCACAGCTTCAACGTCTCCGCCGCGAACGCCAAGACCGGCGAGTTCGCGCAGCTCAACGTGCGCGCAAACATCACCGGCACCCAACCCCTTGGCTCCTCCGATTCCCTCACCGGGGATATGGGTATCGATCCCTGCGGAACGCCATACACCGTGTCTGGCGTCTCCACCTTCGCGGGCCTTATCGCGGCGGGGTACCTCGGCGCGAACGGCTCCGCGACCTCCGTCGCGGGTGTGGACTACGTGTACGACGAGTGCAGCAAGACACCGTTTTTGTATAAGGAAGAGGCGGGGGTGATGGTGTCGTATGACGATGCGCGGTCGTTTGCGGCCAAGGGCAAGTTCGTCATGGATAATGGGCTTGCGGGGTTTGCGGTGTGGGAGGTTACCGGGGACCATAACGATATCTTGATGGATGCGTTGTATGAGGCGATGGGGATTGTGGAGTGCGACGAGGCTTGAGGGCGCTGAGTGTTCGTCGAAAAATTGGCGGCTACCGCGTCGAGATGCGCGCAGGGTGTGGGGAGATGGCATCTCGCGGGGAGGGGGGTGGGCGAGCTTGAGGGCACGAGGCATTTGATCAAGCGAATGGGTGAAACTCACTTTCCTGGGGTTTAAACTGTCTTTTCTTGGGGCTGGAACGGTCTTTCTTCTGGGTTGGGTTGACAGGTTTGTTAGGATGCTGTGCAGCCCGACTTACCGTCATTTGCACCGTCGTTTTTGTAAGTCCGCAACGGACGTATGTTGAAATGAGATCAGTGTCACACTGATTGGTTTCGACCTCCACCATATACGTTTTAAAATGTGCTCTCCTGAAGAATAGCAAGATTATTCGCATTGAAGAGTCTGAATGCACTGGGCGAAGGCACAGATTAGAAACGTAACAAATTCGGAGTTGTCAACTGTGGCGAATTGGTATCATGTCGGAGCGAAGTGTGAATGGCGTGGCAGCAAAGCAAATTGGATTGTTCAAAGAATCCGGGCCAGGGAGATATTATCACTGGAAAAAATGCATGAGTATTCAGCTGCCGGTCAAAAAATGCTAAAACTTTCAACCGACCTTTCCCGCGACTGTCGTTCCCTCACAATTGTATCCGCTCGGTCTCAAAAATCCTCCCTGCCCGTGGCTTTGGCTTCCCATTCTCTCCATATACAATGCACCAGCATGGCAGCATCGGCACGAAGCGTGCCTCGTGTGCGAGATCCGATACATCCTCGTCATACAAGAGGCTCAGCATATATACGAGTACCCGGAGGCGTGCACAATGCGCTAGTGCAGCGCTGAAGAGTACTGGGGCTAGCACGCTGAAAGCGAGGTGTGTGAGACAGGGGAGCGGCGCGGCGAGGATCTCCCAGGGCGCACACGTGTCCGGGTGGGACCAGCGGAGATGGAGATGGGTGACTCGTGCGAAGGCTGGGTGAGCGAAATCCACTACAGTAGAATGGAAGAGAGCTTGGGGATTGACAGTGAGCCGCAGCGGAGGCATTGCCTCGAGCGCCGGTAGGAGCGTAGGATCATAGGCGCGAAAAGAAAGAGGTTCTCGATGTGGCCAAGTTTTTTAGGACGAGGTTTATGTGAATCGGCGGCCAGTCGTCGATGAACAAGTGGCGGCAGTGGGCGTGGAATACATCCGGTCGTGACTCAAGTAGTGGGAGAAATGAAGTCCAGTCGATGCTGG